AAAACGGAGATATTTTTGTTAGATATTTGACAAATCGCCGGATCGGTATTTATGCAACGCTTAAAAAATAACACGGAGAATGTTTTAATTGGATGAATAAATTTTCGTTACTTTCCGCTTGCGGTTTTCGATCGTTAGCGGCGATTCAGAGACGAAGAGAGAGGAGAGCGAGAAAGAGAGAGAAACGTCTTACCAGGAATTCTGCAGACCAGTTCATTTCGATAGATTCGGTATTAAAATATTAGACGTAGAAAAAATAAGAACGAAAAAAAATTTTTTATATTAGTTAGTACAGAAAGTCCGACGTACTTTTGTCAAATAGAGATGAGTACCAAATTTTCTACAAGTTAGGACTAGGATAGAGAAAACGTCAAATCTTTTGCGACGAATTAAACAGCAATATAAATGTTGATTTACGATATTAATCGGTATTCGATTTCCGGTACTGATTTACTTTCTCATTTCTCTATAAGAGAAGAAAAATTAATACGAATCGTTCGTTTATATATCCAAGTTAATTTATTGAATAAATTAGAGCGGTAAGTACCTGAAAAATGAGAACGAACTGTCATTGCCCTTGGACAATCTTCTGACACTGATTTACGGTATTGATCGATATTCGATTTTCGGTATTGATTTACTCTTTCATTTCTCTATAAGAAAAAAAATTCATATGAATCGTTCATTTATCCGCGTTAATTTGATGAATAAATTAAATATTGATCAGTCTTCAATTTATAAGAGAATAAAAATTGATACGAATCGTTCTTTTATCCGACTTAATTTGTTGAGTAAATTAGTGGGGCAAGTACCTGCAAGATGAAAACTACTTGTCATTGCACTTGGACAATTTTCTTGACATTGATTTATGGTATTGATCAGTCTTCAGTTTTCGGTACTAATTTATTTTTTCATTTTTTTATAAGACAAAAAAATTGATACGACTCGTTCGTTTAATCCGAGTTAATTAGTTGAATAAAATTAGAGGGGTAAGTACCTGAATAATTAGAACAAATTGTCATTGCACTTGGACAATTTTTTGATACTGATTTATGGTATTAATCGATATTCGATTTTCGGTACTTATTTACTCTTTCATTTCTCTATAAGAAAAAATGCATACGAATCGTTGATTTATTCGCGTTAATTTGATGAATAAATTAAATATTAATGAGTCTTCGGTTTTCGGTACTGATTTATTTTCTCATTTTTTTATAAGATAAAAGAAATTGATACGAATCGTTCGTTTATCCGAGTTAATTTGTTGAATAAGATTAGAGGGGTAAGTACCTGAAAAATGAAAACAAATTGTCTTTGTACCTGGACAATTTTTTGACATTGATTTATGGTATTAATCGATATACGATTTTCGGTACTGATTTACTCTTTCATTTCTCTATAAGAAAAAAAAATTCATAGGAATCGTTGATTTATCCGCGTTAATTTGATGAATAAATTAAATATTGATCGGTCTTCTATTTTCGGTACTGACTGATTCTTTAATTTCTTTATAACAGAATAAAAATTGATACGAATCGTTCTTTTATCCGACTTAATTTGTTGAGTAAATTAGTGGGGTAAGTACCTGCAAGATGAAAACAACTTGTCATTGCACTTGGACAATTTTCTTGACATTGATTTATGGTATTGATCAGTCTTCGGTTGTCGGTACTGATTTATTTTCTCATTTTTTTATAAGACAAAAAAATTGATACGAATCGTTCGTTTATCCGAGTTAATTTGCTGAATAAGATTAGAGGGGTAAGTACCTGAAAAATAAGAATAAATTGTCATTGCACGTTTGCAATTTTTTGACACTTATTTACGGTATTAATCGATATTCGATTTTCGGTACTGATTTACTCTTTCATTGTACTATAAGAAAAGAAAAAATTGATACGAATCGTTCATTTATCTGCGTTAATTTGATGAATAAATTAAATATTGATCGGTTTTAAATTTTCGGTACTGATTTACTCTTTCATTCCTATATAAGAAAAGAAAAAAATGGGTACGAATCGTTTATTTATCCGTGTTAATTTGATGAAAAAATTAGATATTGATCGGCCTTCGATTTTCGGTACTGATTTATTCTCTCATTTCTTTATAAGAGAAGAAAAATTGATACGAATCATTCGTTTATTCGAGTCAATTTGTTGAGTAAATTAAAGGGGTAAGTACCTGGGAAATGAGAACAAATTGTCATTGCACTTCGACAATTTTCTGACACTGATTTATGGTATTAATCGATATTCGATTTTCGGTACTGATTTACTCTTTCATTTCACTATAGGAAAGCAGAAAATTAATACGAATCGTCCATTAATCCGCGTTAATTTAATGAATAAATTTGGTATTGATCGGCTTTCGATTTTCGTTACTGATTTATTCTCTCATTTCTTTATAAGGGAAGAAAAATTGGTACGAATCGTTCGTTTAAACGAGTTAATTTGTTGTGTAAATTACATCGGTAACTATATACCTGAAAAATGAGAACAAATTGTCATTGGACAATTTTCTGACACTGAGTTATGATATTAATCGGTATTCGATTTTCGATACTGATTTACTCTTTCATTGCTCTATAAGAAAAGGAAAAATTGATACGAATCGTTCATTTATGCGCGTTATTTTTTTTTTCATTATATATAAGTGATCCATGGGACAATTAAATATTCGAATAGATGTTACCGTATCAAAGTCTCTTCTATAATAAACATTTGACACGTCTAGAGACGCATGATGTATCTTGTCCGCATCCCATTCCCTTCGTCCTGCTTCCCTGTATAAAATGTCGAATTGTAACGTATTAAAAAGTATTGACATTTTGAATGTTTCTGAATTCTGAATCTTTTTGATCCGAAGAAAAGGATTGAAAAGTATTAGTTCCCATTAAATTTTACTGCGCTAAATGCGAGACAGTCTCTTTCACCCGGGTGCCTCACCAGGGAAATTTCTCTGGTACGCTAAATCCCGTAAGGCCATCAGTCTTTGTAGTACAGTCTGTAAAGTAAGAGCGTGTATGGGTTAATGTGTAGAAAAATTTATTTTTAATGATTTTTAAGTATATGGATTTGTTGTACTTCATGAGAAGAAAAACGCTATACCATTAATAATGAGTCCAGTCACCACCGGCATTGATAATTGCCTGGCATCTCCGAGGCATACTTTCCACTAAGTTGACTGCGTATTCGTTCGGTAAAGACCTCCAAATGAGACGAATTTGTCGTGTCAGCTGCTTCAAAGTGCACACTCTTTTTCCTCGAAGCTTGTGCTTGAGATATGCCTCACAATACGGCTAAAAAGAACTAGGACGATATTTGAAGCCAACTGCCATTTATGCCGTACACGCTCTTATTTTACAGACTGTATATCTCGTCGGTGCATAAGCTTTATATTACCTGTACATACATATTTTGAAACATTTTCTTTGGATATTATATCAAACGGATTTTGCACGTAATATCCTTCGGATCACAAAGACATTATTATTTTGACTATTTTGATTTGTTTGATATTCATTAAGAATTATCTAGATCGCAACCGCAACATGTTGAACGACTAAATTGTCGTGTGAAATGTTTCAATTTTCACAAATTCATATGAAATTTTTCATTTTTCACTAATTCATAAAATTCACTTTCACTCTTCACTAGTTCACGCTAGGGAAAAGATTCATGATCGCTGCCCTGAGCAGCTGCAACGCTTTTCGAATCATCTATGTCGGCGCGCTTTTACTTCTCAGATTTCTGTCATTAATAACTCGATAATTATTGCGAATCTCGCAAAATGGTATGAGACTTTTATGTTTGTCTCAACCCAATCTACCCTCACACTTCGGGTTGGCAGCTAATTACCGGACACTTTGTATGATCTTCATGATATTAATTATACACAATGTCAATTCTTTTTTTTTTGCACATGTTAACATGTTAATTCATGTTATAAACGCGTAACAATGTGCGAGACCATGCTTGTCAAGTACGCTATTATGGTTGTAACACGGACATAAACCGCCTAAAATGGATGTAGCACGGACTGCCACCACATACAGGTTTTACCGCCGAAACCTGAAAGTGGATGTAGCATCGTAGTTCCCCTCTCAAAATGGGTGCAGATGGCGCCCTTTCCCAGTGCGGAAAGTCGGTGTCGTCGAAAACACCGGGTGCTTCCGAAATCTCCAGGATTGGATCGAGTTGAGTTAAGCCAGCGGCACACGGTGCTTGTTTTCGTGCTGGATTGCTTGCTGGATGAAAATACTGCGTTCTGATTGGTGCATTTCCATCCATCTTCGGAAATGTACCAATCACAACGCAATATTTTCATCCAGCAAGCAATCCAGCACGAAAACAAGCACCGTGTGCCGCTGGCTTTAGTTTCACTATAATATCCGTCACATATACTATAGTGGAACTAACTCAACTCGATCCAATTCTGGACATTTCGGAAGCACCCACCGTGTTGGCCGCTCTCACGTTCCTCTCTGATAATACTAATGCTAGCGGCACCGTAAATTCTAAAGCTCATAACTCAGACAATTCTCAATAAAAATAAGTTATCAAGTAGCGTTTTGGAAACGTCTCGCTGTTATCTTTAACACTGTGTGATAAAAAATGGGATGTTCCATTTAAAAAAATCATGTTGGCCTTGACCTCGCCTTGACCTCTCCACTGAAGGTCAAACGGATATGATCATTCAATAGAACTTTTAAAACCCTATAACTTTGGTTGGAAACATTTTTCTCAGAAACATTTTGTTTTCGAGATATTTAGGCCCAGTTCCACAACTTGCTTTAAACGGAGTTTAAACTCCGTTTAAAGCAAGTTGTGGAACTGGGCCTTAACCGTTTCCAGATTTTTCTAACACCCTATATATATAAAAGTCTGTGGTGGAAACGAAACGCACTAATAATTTTCACTATAGCCAACTTTATTTTCCTTACTGGCAGTAGTCATAGCTATTTCCATACACCTCATGTCCGTTACCATCTATACTTATTTTAAGTTACAGTTTCATATTTCGGCCACGATATGCTTTAGATGGCGCTAGCATCTAGAGAGATATCTTTAGTACGCTAAATCCCGTAAGATTAACGATCTTTATTAGTATCTCGTCAGTGGCAGCATGGAGAAAGCGCGGTCAGTGAATGTGATGGATATGTGTGGTTCAAATTGATGGACGAAAGTACCGTTGATTCAGCTGTGACGGCTTTCGCAAACTTTCATGGGAGCTGAAGTAAAAGGGAAGTGCAAGAGGGGAGAGGGCAATATCCTGGGAAAAGGATAGATAAACGAAAGGAAGAGAAGAAAGAAGAAACCCGGTCGGTGCCGCCAGTGGTAGGCGGTAATCGCAATCGAGTTGGTGCAGCCGTAATCACAATACACATACACTCCGTTATCCGTTTGAGACATGCCACTTCAAGGATTACGGTAACATGGCATCGTCGTTGAACGAGTCTTTGGAGGTGATCAAGTTGCGTTTCGCACATGCTGCCGACAAACCCGAATGGATTCCGTTGTCTTTGATATTGGTGGAGTATCCGCAAGGTTGGTGTACTTTACGTTTGTTCGTGGTAGCAAGTAATCCGGAAACGCGGTCGGTTCGAGGATTTCGCCAACGACGGCGAGGTCGAACTCTCGAAGCCTGGCTGTTTATCACTCACTAATTAGTGCGCTGCTTGTTATTTTGTTACTTAAATACACACCTGCTGCCCTTCACATGGGCAGTCAGGCTGTTGCGAGCTACAAATGGTAGTTGCAATAATAAGGTACAACTGTAGACAAAACATATTTGTACATATTGATATTGGTATAATAAAGTTTGATGGATTGTTTGCAATACTCCACTTGAGATTCTTGGGGAAAAAGTTCCATGTGCAAACATATGTTTCATTCAGTTATATTATGCTATAATAACAGTTAAGTTATAATTAAATTAGTCATTTAATTTTTCTAAGAAAAATCTCTTGCAATGTTCTGTTATACTATAATAATTGTTAAGTTGTATTATAATTAAATTGGCTATTTGATATTTCTAAAAAAATTATTTTATAATAAATAATATCCAAAATAACAAGAGGACTAAAATAATAAGATACACTGTGGTAAAATTTGTTTGCTTTGTATCTAATAATAACATATACACTTAAACTTTCAGGAGACCTCTTTGGGAAGCTCTTGGCCGTAATAACTCTAATACCCTTTGCCATTATAGCTGGCTTTCTCACATTAATATTGTTTAGAAGAGATTTACATACTGTAAGTAAGCATGATGTTTCATATGATATTTCATATGATCAAGCTGATATTTCATATATCTCACAAGGTATAACATAATATATATGAATAGACTCAGCTGATGTACATATATGTCTGATTCAATTTTGTTCCTGAGTTATAGTAAATTTTGCATTGTATTAATTTATTTAATAAATTAAGTTAATATACTTAATTTCATTCAACTATTTACAAGAAACACTGGATATTTTATAATTTTGTTAACTATTTTCTAGAATTTCATAACATTCTATGACTTATTTAAGTTTAATCTGTTGGAATAAAAATATATTATATATCTGTTAGACTTTTTCTATGAGATTTGAAATCCTTCATATACATGCAACAACTACTGATAAGATTATGAAATATTTTGCTACTGAATTGAGGAAAGTTTTTAGCAAATCTATTATCATCTAGATGTATCAAAAGAATATGATAAGAATAAAACATATTTATATTGAAATATAAGGTAGCTATTGATTATTTGTGGAAATAAATAAATATAAGTTTTTACAAAACAAAATAGACTACAACTGGGAAGCAAAATTGATTCAGATAAGATTTGTTTGCTTTGTGTCTACCTCAGAGATGAATTTAGCATTTAAAAACAATAAAAATGTTTATGTAAGTAAAAAATGCAAAATATATATGAGCATCTTTATTGTTCTTATATAAATGCTGAATTTATCCCTGAAATAGGTCTCACATATTATGTTATGTATCTTGTATATATATAAATATAAACATATTTAATATCTATAAAATTTGGATGTATGTGTACACATGTGTTTCTTTCTTTTGCAGATAGTATTTTTTAGTGGAATTCTCATCAATGAGTGTATAAATTTTATACTGAAACACACAATCTGCCAAGATAGGCCGATTAAGAGAGATGGCTTGTATACTGAATATGGTATGCCGTCTACACACGCACAATTTATGTGGTTTTTCGCTGCATATGCATCACTTTTTGTATACATTAGGTAAGCAGACATTACGTAACCATGTCTCATTTCATATATTGTTCTCATTGTATCTACAATCTTAGGAATGCCCTGTTTTAGGTTAAATTACAACTGTACTATAGCAGAGAGAGTTTGGCGGACAATAGTAGTAGTAGGATGTGTTATTACAGCTGTATTGGTAACCTACAGCAGAGTATATTTACTGTACCACTCCAATACCCAGGTAGTCTGGGGTGCATTAATTGGCATTGCACTAGGGATAGCATGGTTTGCAGTCACACATACGGTTCTGACGCCGCTTTTCCCTATAATAGTTTCATGGTGAGTAATAAGTAAAAAGTTTATAATAATAACTATTGGAAAAATTGGTTTCGCGCCCGACCCGACTGCGAAAGTCAGCCTAGAAAAAGTTGGGAAATCAGCCTGAAAAAAAATGATTGTATATAAATTTTGTTTTTATATAATTATACGTAAATAATAAATATTTATAATGTCCATACCGAAAATAATGATATATTAATGCAATGGAAGTAAATACTTACGACAGCGCACGATATCAACGTTTAATTAAATCAAGCTGTTTCTTTTCTCCCTGTATAATAGTTTTTTTCTTCTGTATGGATATATATAATTATATATGATTACATATGGTCATATATGTGACTATGCAGAGACAAAATTCATATGTTTGTGATTGTATATAATTTATTATTATTTATTATAATCATAAATAATATATATGATCATAATCAAATATTTTATATAACTATGTATAACCATCTTTTCCGGCTTGGTTTAATTCAATTGATGCAATATTCTTTGCAACACTAATATGCAACAGCTTTTAATTAAAATCTTAAGCATAAAAAGTAGGGGTAATAAAAGTAAAAAAATTATGCAATTGGGGTTGGTTTGCTACTTATCAGTGCTTCGCTTAAAAAAACCCAGAAAAAAGTCTCTGGAGTGTATATTACACAGTTGGATAATTTTATTTTCCTGCTAGATTAGATTTTTCCTCTTAGATTAGATATTTTTTATCATATCTAATTACTAATGAATAGTTCATCTTCCTTGGGTTGAATTCTTCAGAGCCAATAAGGTGTTTAAAGTTTGAAATGATAAGAATGATAACAATGATCTCCAGATAAAATTATCTCTCTTAATTAATTATACCATAGTGCTTAATTATTTACCATCTAATTACATATCCAATCATCTATCATCTATATGTGAAATTTTCTTTCCAGGCGAATATCAGAATACCTGTTATTACGCGACACAACATTGATTCCTAACGTCTTGTGGTTCGAGTACACAAGTATTCGCACGGAGGCTCGGGCGCGCGCTCGAAAGCTATCGGCGATTGGCAGATCGCATTGACATCTAATGCCGTCTGGCCAATGTGCTGATAACGAACTGAAATAAAAAAGAAAAGATGCCTTGATAACGAACGATCAGACGATAAAGCAACATGGCGGTTCACGGTTCGATAGAGTTCAGGAATTAGCATGAATGTACGACGCGGATGGGAAGTGACGCCGAGTTGACGCCGGATTCCTCGTTTTATCGGAGAGAAGATACGTCGGGTTCGAAAAGAAAAATAAAAGAAATGTCAGTACAAACACGGAAACGACTACGGAACGATCGTTCTCGCCATCTCACCGTCATCCAATATCGTCGTTGTCGTCTCTCATCAACAATATTATCTCACTATTGTTAGTGTTAGTGTTGATACACGGTAATTAAGCATTTTTATCGAGACGTCTGAGACAGTCGGAGCACAACGGTGGTGACACGCAAATTTTACACAAGAAGGACTCAGTCCGCTTGGCAGTTGAGAGGGAGGGGGACGTTGCTGTACGAGAGGAGAAACAATACCGCTATGCGTCGTATTGTGCTATGTTAAAGGACATGTATACAAATTGGCACGATAGCTTTAACATTCGCTAGGTTCAGGGTCATTTGAATTTCTCGATCGCACGCGCCGCATATCCGTGCATAACAAGTATAATTAACATAATTATACAGACGATATCTTGCAGATTCCTATTTATACGTGATCTTATGTTTTACGCCATATAGAGCCATTTCCTGTCTGAATAATATTTCACATATCCTTGTTATTTTCTTCATATAACAAACAGCTATCATACGCGAGGAGTATGTAGATCAGAAAGTTTCAGTGGCTTTCGAACCTGGTAAATTTTAAGACTAGAAAGAATCAAGGTCGATAAGAGCCAACGCGAGATATCATTTGCGAGTATTTAATTATTACAGATTAATCAAGCGTTAAGCGTTGAACAGTACAGTATCTCGTTGCTCTTTCTTTTAATCAAGTAAATTGTTCGCGAAATGTTGAAAACGAATCTATAAACAAAGTGTGGTTTCAAGCCGGAAACTCCTGATCCAATATAATAAAACTCTTCAAGAGTTAACCATCGTAGTTTCGATTCTTTTAAGTGACAAGAAAAAAGTAATTTGCCCCTGAGAATAAAAATATTTTAATTGCTCTTTATCTCTCTATCTACATCGTTTGATAAAACAGTTTAAGAGCTACCTAGCGATAGTTTAGTTTCACATGAAAAGAACCACTTCATCCTTTTTTTTCATCAGTTTTCTAATCCTCCACAGGTTTTAATTTTTTCCCGCTGAAACCAAATTTTTGAAACACTAAATTACACCTTTGCCTTTACCTTATTTTCACTTGTCTGTGATATTGTTCTTGTTGTTAAAAAATCCGAACTTAAAGATTATATTAAATTATAATAAATTTTTTAAATCATATGGGGTAATTGAATTATGAAATGAATTAATTATATTATAAATATTTGCAACTTTCTTTTTCTCTCTCTCTCTCTCTCTCTCTCTCTCTCTCTCTTTCTGATACTTTACATTGCCTCTCATTGACTTGCTTGATTCTTTTTAGATTTTATATGTGACATCCTTGACACTTTCATTGATTTTAGAACTTCTGCCGATTGTGTACAAGCGTGCGCGCATACACACACATATACATTAAGTCGAATGCCTGTTTATAATGTTCCAAATTTAATAAGCACGATTGTATTCTCTGCAAGCTACATTCTTTCTTACAAATCGTCATCGAATATCGCAAACGCTCAACGATACGTTCCACACCGACTCCTAAGAGATACGGTACGTCAGCAGCGGATTCTCCGTTCTGTGTTCAGATACTTAATTAAGTTAAAGTCGAAAACGCGTTTACAGGCCGACGTTTAGTTTAAATTGAGACTGAAAATTGTTATATAATACAACAGAGCAGAGGCGGGGTTGCGATTAATCAACAATGAGCAGCTGCGAGGAGAAGAATCGCGTCTCTCGACAATATATCTAGTTTAGTTTTGCAGTAGATCGCTTTCCACGACATGTTCATCGAGACCTCACCTATACATTTGCGGTTTTCTATCTCGCGAGAAAGATATTAAAGACCTATTTCGTAACTCTCTCTGCGATAGGGTCGTTATCGTTGTGGAAACATGATGCAACAACTGCGCAACGACATAACTACAACGACACTACCATCGAGGATTACAGAATAGGCTTATAGAGAAACTTTGGGTCCGGACACGCAGAAAACAGCAAGACAAGTGTAAGCAGTAAACAAATGAACCAAACGTAGTTGAATATTTTTGAGCCGTGAGAAGAATAAGTAATTTTCACCAGTCAATTTCTTCATCGCTTACGTCATACTGCTCAAATTGTTCTGTGTGGCTAATATACCATACGTTTAATCCTTAATATACCAAGGATCTTCAATCCAGCTGCTCTTTACCAAGCCAAGGCCCTCACGGAACCGTTGTTTTTCTGAAAATTATTCAGTTATTTGACGTTGTAGTTGACACAAATTGTGTTTCTCGGGTTATTTAACTTTGTACTTTAGGGACTCGAGAGTATTGTTAACGACTTAACAAATCTTAACGTTATAATTTTGATAGTATACTAAAAATTATGGTTAATTATCCTCTGGGGTCCTCATAGGATCCACCCCATCGTTTTTTAGAAGTTATTTAATTGTTTGATATTGTTGTTGGCTCAAATTATGTTCTTCGGGTTGTTTAACGTGTACTTTAAGGACTCGAGTATTGTTAAAACCAAATTTTGATGTTATAATTGCAGTATACCAAAAATTATGATTAATTATCATCTGAGGTCCCGACAGGACCCCGTTGTTTTTTCGGAAATTATTCAATGACTTAACGACAAATTTTGATGTTATAATTACTAAAAATTACATTACTAAAAATGATGGTTAATTATTTTTCGGAAATTATTCAATTGTTCAATGTCGCAGTCGACCTGAATTACGTTTTTCGGGTTGCTTAACATGTACTTTAATGACTTAACGACGAATTTTGATATTATAATTACTTACATTACCAAAATTGTTAATTACTCTCTGGGGTAACAAATGCCCGTACTTGGTATATTAAGGATTAATGTTTACGCACAAGGTGATTAAACAGTCATGAGTCGTATGTGGCGAAGGGACGTCCTTTATACTGAACACACAATCGCTCGATTTCCCCGCGACCATGTGAGTGCGTCTGGATAGATCTTGCGAGATTAAGAAGGTAGGTGCAATATCGCAAGCGAGTACTCGTACCTATCTATCTGTTAGATCGTGATTATTCCACGTAGGATATTTTCACGGACAGATTTCACCCTCGTCGTCTGCCTTGATATACTGCACGTCAAAACCGCGTGAAACTATACTGCCCTCTTCTCGTTTCTCTCATATTTTTTCTTTCGACTTTTCCTTCGCCGTAACGTTCCCGAAAATTTCGACCTCGGATGGAAAAAACGCGCGAGCCGAGAGGCTCGTCGCATAAACGACGACGACGACGTCCAATGTTAGTCCGATATAAATTAGCGGGCGACGTCGATAGTAACGTTTTACATGGTGATTGAATTCCCGGGGAAGGCCGGAGTAGAGGAAATGCGTGCGGGAAAAATACATATGCCTCATATAAGATTTTGTTAATAAAATTTCATGAAACATCACACAATGTGTCGATCTCGCGCTTACTTTGCTCAGCGAAACCGAGCATCGGTAATGCCTATTTCGCGAAGTCGCGACTTATCCGCGCGAGTTCCGACTTGTGATTCATTCGCAAGTTTTTTCCTGTATTGAAATTACAAGCGAAGATCTCCGCGATAAGGCGAAGAGAGCGCAAAAGTCACAGACTTCTATATACAGGGTTTTCGAAAAGCATCGGACCTCCCTATTATCTCCAGAAGTACGCACTTTTACGGAAAATAACTCGAATAAAAATTGTAGGGATCATGAAGTACTATTTTTTGGTGACCTTGAAATTGACCTTGAACGTTGACTTTGAGGGTTATTTGAAGGTCAACTCGAAATTTTCAAATGGAAACTCCAATTTTTTACTACACCGTTTTTTTCTACCAATTAATTTAGACAACTTTTGTCTGAAACATTTCTTTATTAGCCTAATATTTTTTGAGATATTTAAGGAAAACTTGATAACTTTCTCAATATTTAACTTATAATATCGCGCTATTTGTCAGAAGAAAAAGTGGTACTAGCCTTTTTTACTCTATTTAGTCTCAAGAATATATTGTTACAATAGCGCCCTGATTTTTGTTAATTTGATAATTTTGAAATTTCCAAAAATCAATAAGTTACTAAAAATCAGGGCGCCATTGTAACAATACATTCTTAAGACTAAATAGAGCAAAAAAGGCTAGTACCACTTTTTCTTCCGACAAACAGCGAGGTATTGTAAGTTAAATATTGAGAAAGTTATCAAGTTTTCCTTCAAAAACTATCTCAAAAACTCAATCAAACTCAAAAACTATAAGGCAAATAAAAAAATGTTTCAGACAAAAGTTGTTCAAATTAATTGGTAAAAAAGGACGGTATAATAAACAATTGGGGTTTCCATTTGAAAATTTCGAGTTGACCTTGAAATAACCCTCAAAGTCAAGTTCAAGATCAATTTCAAGGTCACCAAAAGATAGTACTTTATAATCCCTATAACTTTTATTCGAATCTTTTTCCGTAAAAGTGCGTATTTCTGGAGATAATAGGGGAGTCCGATACTTTTCGATAACCCTGTATAGTGCTGGCAAAAAGTTCCGTAACGGTTGAAAATTCTGCAAAATATTGATTTCTTGGAAATATGTTTCAAATAAAAGAAAGAGGTCTTAAAAAGTTATTAGATGATATCTATCTGATTTTGAAAAGCTCGGTCTACATGACCTTGAAAAGCTCAGTCATGGTCAACATAAAAACCTTAAACGGAAACCTCTATTTTTTATTACACCGTCTTTTTCTATCAATTAATTTGAACAACTTTTGCATGAAACAGTTTTTTATTTGCCTAATATGTTTTGGGATATTTAAGGAAAACTTAATGACTTTTTTAATACTTAATACTTACGATATCTCGCTAACTATTCGTCGGAAGAAAAAGTGACGCTAGACTTTTTTACTCTATTTGGTCTCAAGAATATATCGTTACAATAGCGCCCTAATTTTTGTCAATTTGATGATTTTGAAATTTCCAACAGTCAGTAAGTTAACATAAGTCAGGGCGCTATTGTAACAGTATATTCTTGAGACCAAATAGAGCAGAAAAGTCTAGTACCACTTTTTCTTCCAACAAATAGCGAGATATTGTAACTTAAATATTAAAAAAGTTATCGAGTTTTCCTTAAATATCTCAAAAAATATTAGGCAAATAAAAAAATGTTTTAGGCAAAAGTTATTAAAATTAATTGGTAGAAAAAGATGATGTAATAATAGATGGGAGTTTCTATTTAAAAAAAATAAATTGATCTTGACCGAGCTTTTCAAGGTCATACCAAGGTCAGATAGATATCATTATCTAACAGATTTTTTTAGGTCCTATTGCTTTTATTTGAAATATTTTTTCAAGAAATCAATATTTTTCAAGATTTTCGATCGTTACGGAACTTTTCGCCAGCACTGTATAAGCTAGACTGATAACTTCCATTGGTTTTCATGTATAAAAGTGTTCCTGATGTAAAACATAGAATCGTGCGCACATTTGCATTGCAAGATCCCTAAAGGAATGTAACTGCATCGTATAGGCATTTTTATTCCAGGAAATGTTAATATTTGTCCAATATTTAATATCAATGTGAACATTGAATGTGACAATGCAAGAGGAAATATTAAATATTGTATAAATAATATTTTCTGGAGAAAAATGCCTGTACGGTGCAGTCACATCCCTTTCAAGAGCTTGCAATGAGCATGCGAAAGAAATTTTAACAAATACTTTTAGGGAACATGTTAAAGAGACAAGTTATCGGTTTAGTGTATATACAAGGTGTCTTAAAAATACCGGAACCCCCGAATAATTTTGCAGGATCAAATTTTCATGAAAAATTTTAAATACAAAAGTTGTAGAAAATCGAGTAACGAACTTGATAATAATCTTGAATTTGACCTTGGTCATGACCTTCAGGTCATTTGGAGGTCGTTTTTTAAATGGGAACCCTTATTTTTTATTACACTGTTTTTTCCTATCAATTAATTTGAACAACTTTTGTTTGAAACATTTTTTTATTTGTCTAATATTAATAATATTTTTTAAAATATTTAAGGAAAACTCGGAAACTTTTTCAATATTTAACTTACGATATCTCGCTAACTATTTGTCGGAAGAAAAAGTGGTACTAGACTTTCTTGCTTTATTTAGTCTCAAGAATATATTGTTACAATAGTGCCTTGACTTTTATTAACTTATTGACTTGGAAATTTCTAAATCATCCAATTAACAAAAATCAGGGCACTATTGTAACAATATATTCTTGAGACTAAATAAAGCAGGAAATTTTAGTACCACTTTTTCTTCCAACAAATAGTTAGCGAGATATCATAAGTTAAATATATTGAAAAAGTTATCAAGTTTTCCTCAAATATCTCAATATCTCAAATATCAAAAAATATTAGGCAAATAAAAAAATGTTTTAGACAAAAGTTGTTCAAATTAATTGGTAGAAAAAAACAGTGTAATAAAAAATAAGGGTTCCCATTTAAAAAACGCAAGTTGACCTACAAATAATCTTGAAAATCATGGCCAAGGTCAAATTCAGGGTCACCAACAATTCCGTTACTCGATCTTCTACGACTTTTGTATTTAAAGTTTTTCATGAAAACTTGATCCTCCAAAGTTATCCGGGGGTTCCGGTATTTTTACGACACCCTGTATATACAATGTAGAAGCTGTGGCAAAAGTTCGCGTCAGCGCGGCAGCATGCGGGGGATGTTCCTTTTCGAAAGAGCGGACCCGCAGTGCGCATGCGACAACATGTCGCCACTCCGCGGAAACATGCGATATTAGTGATCGATAGAAAATAAAGCGCACAAAGCAAAAGTGCGCGTAAAGCTTGGCCAAGCTTGGCGGAGAAGGGAGAGCGAAAGAGAGAGAGAGAGAGCGCGGTGTCCGTTAACGAGCGAATTTCCCGATCGGGTGGAATCCTAGACGCGCGCGAGGATGGACTTCAACGTGAAGAAGCTGGTGAAGGATGCGGGAGCCGCCCTCAGCAGAGTCGTGCAGGTGGGAATTCCACGGTTCTCCGGCTCCGTCGACCTGCGACGGCCGATGCGGACGAGTACGCACGTCGTCCCGATCGCGCTCGTCGCCGTGACGATTAACGCCTCAGGCGGCGACGCGACCGTCTGCTCCGTCGCCGGACGGACGCTCCGCGCGATTTCTCTCGCGTCCTCCTCCTCGTCCCCGGCCGATCTCGCTCCCGTCGAACTCGTCGAGTTCCCGCATACGCAGTAGCGTTATCACGCTTAACCTAAATCTCTAATCCCATTTCGACGAGTAACATTACCGGGCCTTTGATACCGATCTGTCATCGTTCCCCTTGCACGGTCGCGAAAGTGAATCATACTAATGAGAAGGACTTTGCTTTCGCGAGAGCTGTTTACGCATAGATATCGCGCGCTTATCTGTAAGCTACCGAGCGGAATAATTGTCTCCCCCCAAAATAACCGGGGAATGAGTAACGTGTGTAGCAACGTCTCTGTGTTTTCTTAGTTAACAGAGGAGACGCTGGGCACCTCGGAAAAAACAGAGTTGGACGCGCACTTAGAGCATTTAGTGGAGAGAGGAAATGCCACCAAAACGTGGACAGAGAAGATACTGCGAAACATGGAAGCTGTGCTCACTCCGAATCCTGGTATGGATTAATTAAATATATATATATATATATATATATATACAGGATAGGGCAAAAGTATGTTTATAGTTGGGAGTATGTAAAACGCAGAGCTGATTCTTGTATCTTTTATTACTTTTATTCTTGTATACAGGATGTCTAGAATCCTTTGCAAAATGAAAAATTGTGACGATTAATCAGATTAGACTGAGAAGAAAAGTCAAGTATCATTTTGCAAAAATTGCAATAGTTATGTTACCGATGATTAAAAATGACTACTTATTTGCAAGATGATAAAGGGCTTTTTTGTTTAGAATGATCTAATCTACAATTATATTATGTCCAGTGATTCAAGATTCAAGGTTAAAAGTTCAGTATATTCATATCTATTGCTAGACACAATAGCCATCATATAATTCTAGATTAGGTTATTCTGAATAAAAAAGTCCTTTATTATTTTGCAAATAAATACGCAAATTTTCAAGATATGGTCATTTTCAATCGCTAATAACTATTACGATTTTAGCAAAATGGTATTTTTCTTCTCAGTTTGATCTAATTAATCTTCACAATTTTTCCCTCCCAAAAGATTCTGGACATCTTGTATATTATTATTATTATTTATTTATTAATTATTGTATTATTTATTTGTGTTATTTATCTTATTATTATTTTGTATCCTTATGAGTTATCTTTTAGTAATGATGACTGGTAATGTAAATCTACTTTTGCCTTATCCTGTATGTATATATTATTACACTATTATTGATCAACCATATTACTATGCAACTATATATTATAGGCAATAGGATCGAAGATTTCTTCTATGAAAAGATTGATAAGAAGAAACCTAATAGGCTGAGCAACTTGGAGTATGTAGGCATTGATATGATTCAAGCTGGAAACGATTTTGGTCCAGGAGTAGCTTATGGTTAGTATTGAGAGAATCACAATATATGACAAATGAGAACTGTGCGTAAAGAATCTCAATCGCATTTCAGGCAGCGCGTTAATAAAGGTTGGCCAATGCCAGCAGAAGTTGGGACAGGTTGAGAGAGATTTTATAGGGATCGCTGCTAACTGTTACATACAGCCTTTGAGGAAGTTTCTGGATGGAGAGATGAAAACTGTTAGCAAGGAGATGGCAATATTGGAAACTAAAAGGTGAAATGAAATAGTGTTGTATGATTTGCTGGAGCCACCATTGCTGAATTCAAGCAAAGTTTCATTACTCATGCCAAGTGATGCTTGCAGATTGGACTTGGACGCGTGTAAAAACAGAGTGAGAAAAGCGAGAAGTCTGCTGGGCCAACAGAGTGTAAGTATTGCGTTATCGTCGATCCCGTTTAAAAATGCGTTTTCGATGTTTACGATGTGTTTTGTCCTTCATACTGCTGCGATCGATAGGAGTCTGGCGTACCACCCGAAGTGTTGCTTGATCAGGTATATTAACGCAATCGACCGTTTTGGTTGCTTCTCAAGTTTGGTTTCTTCTCGGGGGCGATGAATATCAGAGATATGTTCGATGAGAATCTCTGATATGGCTTCGTATCAAAGAGATTCTCAGCAAGTTTGATACATCTTACAAGAATTTCCTCGCATCCATGTGTATACGTGTGCGTGTATATAGGCGCGTGCATGCGTATGTTTGTTTATATGCAAAATATCCACCGTATCATCTAACGTGCGTAATATACAGGGTGAGTGAAAAGTATGGAAACCCTTAAAAGTCTCGAAAGATATAAGTTTTACAGAAAAATGTTTCAGACAAAAGTTATAAGGCTCAAAACGATGTATTTACTGATCTTAACAGTTTGACCTTGAGTGGTGTTGTCAAGGTCAGGTCAAGGTCAACTTTTTTTATTTTTTTTATAGAAACCCCTATCTTTTATTGTATCATCTCTTTTTACCAATTAATTTTAATAACTTTTGTCTGAGACATTTTTTTATTTACCTAATATTTTTTTAGATATTTAAGGAAAATTCGATAACTTTCTCAATATTTAACTTACGATATCTCGCTAACTATTTGTCCGGAGAAAAAATAGTACTAGACTTTTTCATTCTATTTCATCTCGAAAATATATTGTTACAATAATGCCCTACCTTTAGTTAACTTATTGACCTTTGGAAATTTCAAAATCATTAAATTAACGAAAGTCAGGGCGCTATTGTAACAATATATTCTTAAGACCGGATGGAGTAAAAAAGTCTAGTACCACTTTTTCTTCCGACAAATAGTTAGCGAGATATCGTAAGTTAAGTATTGAAAAAATATTTAAAAAGTCATTAAGTTTTCCTTAAATATCTCAAACCATATTAGGCGACTGAAAAAATGTTTCAGACGAAAGTTGTTCAGATTAATTGGTAGAAAAAGATGATATAATAAAAAATGGGGGTTTCTATTTTAAAAAAATAAATTGACCTTGACCTGACCTTGGCAACGTCACTCAAAGTCAAACTGATAAGATCAGTAAATACATCGTTTTGAGCCTTATAACTTTTGTCTGAAACACTTTTTTGTAAAACTTATATCTTTCGAGGTTTTTTCATTTTTTTCATACTTTTCATTCACCCTGTATATGTAATATGATAACAATAATTGTTACTTGCAAAGTTGATCGGAAGTGATACCCGAAACGGTAACGGTTTCCCGTGACTCTCCTCGTCCTGGAGTTCCGAGCGTTGCTCCAGACGACGACGACGACGATGACGATGAGTGCCGAAGGAGACAAGAAATATAATGTATGTATTGCTTACTCAGGCAGAGAGGGAGTTGAGGGTAGCGCAGTCGGAATTCGATCGGCAAGCGGAGATCGTGAAGCTGCTGCTGGAGGGTGTTTCAAGCTCGCAAGCTGGACACCTGCGATGCCTGCACGAGTTCGTGGAAGCGCAAGCCCGCCACCACGCCCAGTGTCACGCCGTCATGCAGGACCTGCAGCGCGAGCTCGCCGGGTAAGTTGACGTCTTGTCGGACTCGTTTCCTGCTTTCTCTCTCTCTCTCTCTCTCTCTCTCTCTTTATCTCTGTCCCTTCTTTATCCTTCCTTTTTTTCTTTCTCGGCCTCTCTCTTTCTCTCTCTCTCTCTCTCTGTCTTGTAGAAAAGTAACGTCTATTTTATCTATTCCGCACTCATGTGTCCTCGCAGCGTGTGTTATTGCGACATTTCTTGTACAGCTATCCCACTTTATGGTAATCCGAGTGAGTAATGTTTGACAAACCTTGAATGTAGTAATGGCTGTTACTTAGGTATCGATCTACGCGTTCCGCTTGTCCCTAGAGCATCCGCGGGCACACATCTGGACGGAAAAAGAGCGGTCGATCGCACGTCTGTGACTTACCTCTCTTTCTCTCTCTCTCTCTCTCTCTCTCTCTCTCTCTCTCTCTCTCTCTCTCTCTCTCTCTCTCTCTCTCTCTCTCTCTCTCTCTCTCTCTCTCTCTCTCTCTCTCTCTCTCTCTCTCTCTCTCTCTCTCTCTCTCTCTCTCTCTCTCTCTCTCTCTCTCTCTCTTTCTCTCTATCTATCTATCTATCTATCTATGCTTCTCTCCCCAACCCTCTCTTTGTCTGTCTTGTCGACACGTTTGGTTCGACAAACATCATCTGTTATGGCCCGGTTTCATCGACATCGGAGACCTCTGAACTCGACTCGACTGCAGTCGGTGATGAGTTAACCGCCAAGTTCGAGGGACAACCAGCTGTCTGATGAGACCGGAACAGCAGTCTCACGGGTCTTCGCCAACACGACCCAGTCGCTTCCGTCATCAGTCTGTTGGATGAGTGCAAAAGTTCGTGCTCTCATTAAAACTCAAGGAGTAATTTGGCATATCATTTCTTTTTATTAATTAATGATGTAATCGTTTTCTACAATCTTTTTCCAACATTCTGGCAGCCCTCGATCATAAAACCACCTCGATTTCTCATGAGGAACTCATGAAGAGAAGTGTTTTTTCACGGCTTCTAAAGATGCGAATTTCTTTCCATTTAAATTTTCTTGTAATGTTCGAAACAAATGATAGTTTGGTGGTGCGATGTGACATTCCATTTCAATTCCCTTAATTTACACAAGGTCCGTTTTGCAATGTGTGGTTTTGCGTTGTCGTGAAAGACGTCTCCCTTTTGATTAGTCGGAATTGGACGCTTCTCCTGGACTGCTGTCTTTAAATTGTCTAATTGTTGACAGTACTTGTCAAAATTAATCGTTGGACCAACGAGGAGCAGCTCAAGATAAATTATTCCTTTGCGATCCCACCAAACAGAAAGCGTCACTTTCTCAACATGCAAATTGGCTTTCGCCATGGATTCTGCATCTTCATTTGCTTGTTCCATTTTTCATCGTCAATCATCAGTCCATCTGAAAACGACTCTTTATTCAGTAAGGAAGCAGCTGCAGAAACTCGATTCAACTTGTCCGCTTCGCTTAACAAATGCGATCGATCTGTCAATGTGAAGTCTCTCAGCAATCTCTTTTGTTGAAATTCGTGAACTATTTTGCATGAAATTGCGCACAATGTCATCATTCGTGCCAGAAGATTGAGCGGACCGCGTCAAGGTGGAAATCATTACTAAATCTCTAAATCTCTCAAACTATTTCTTATGGCGGTTCCAACACCCTCCCGAAACTCATAAAGCATAACATGCTGTAAATGCGCCTTTTCTCCACTGACTTTCAAGATTCTTTTTCGCAACGTAAATTCAATCAAAACACACGAGTCTTTCGTTTCAGTGATAACTAAATATGTCACGTTTCCAACGACGTACAAGGTGTAATATCAATAATATCAACATACAGGTCTGTACGATGGGTTGCCTACTCCCATTCGGACGATAATGCAAAGGTAGCCGAAAAAGTCGCTCGTTGATCTTGTCGATAATACTTGCAGTGCTCCCAGTTACGAGTGCAACTAATTTTGCACTGTGATCGTTTATAATAACAACTGAGTCTCATCAAATAAAAAATAAAAACATAAAAGTTTCACTTTTTTATGTTTTTATTTAATAGAGTTTTTATTTAATAGAGAAATAAATATTACGAATTTAAGCAGATAAATTAAGAGTAATAGTTAAGGGGATGAGTAGTGTAACATATTTTCTTGTTTCGCGTAATCTCTTAATTTCTTTCTCGCATGTGAAAGTCCGATAGGAATTAGAAATTAGAAAAAATTATACAGAAATGTTTAAAAGCTTTATGTTACTGTTTTATGAGAAAAATATATTTAATATTATTATATATTTAATATTATAATATTAATATTTTATTTATATTTATATTATATATTTATTATTTATTTCTTTACTTTTACATTATATATTTATTATTTATTTTTATTTTTTATATTGATATTTTTATATTGAATATTTTAATATTCAATATTTTTTCATTTTTTATATTTTCTCCAAAAATATGAACCGGTCGGAAACGCAGCATATAAATTACTGATCGCAACTTAATCGACGATAACTATCAAGCGACATATTTTCGGTATGGCATAATCTTGCATTTTGATGCCTCTTTTATAAAAAAATGGCGTTTGTTTTCCGAAGTTTTCGCAGCTGATAAGCAAATCAGAAGACTCATAAGCCACTTTTTTCGATAAAAAGAGTTAGAAGTACGAGCATTCTACATTCTAATGAGGAATTTTCAATGAGGCTTGGTTCCTGTCATAAGCTGGCAAAATTAATTATCAAATATCATTATCGACAAAGTCAACGAGAGACTTTTTCGGTAATCTCTGCGTTATCGTCCGAGTAGGGGCAGGCAACCCGTCGTACTGACCTGCATGTCGATGTTACATCCTGCACAATACGCACACTTAACAATGAACGACGCTACCGTACAACTCTCCTCATGACATCTGCAATCGGACACGAACTCTTGCACTCGTCCAACATGTCTTTGCACGCTTCGTAACGATCACGTTAGCAATATAGACGTAAATTCGCTGTCTCATCATTCTCTCACGTCTCTCCGCCGCTCTTCAGCCCCGCGCTATTCCGGGTCTGCTCGTTCCCAAAGAGCTCGCGGACTAATGCGCAGCGTTATGATAATGCGATAAGTCAGAGTGGAAGAAGGCACGCTTCACTCCGACCCATCGCATCGATTGACAAGTTGTTGTTCGGAGACGAACGGACCTTACTCTCTCGCTTGCACGAACGGTTGGGATTGCAGAGCGCGTCAACCGAGTCCTTTGCTGAGAGTCAACAGCGAAGAAGTGATCGAGCTGACACCCTCGCCTACGCTCCCCGTTAATTCATCCGTCTACCCTCAAAGCTCGCCAATAACCGCCGCCGGTTCCACCACTTACGTTACTGCCACCTTCGACACTGATATCAGTAAAGTCTAGCTCGGCTAGGCTCGCCCTCGCCCCGCTCGCTGTGTGACGGCGCAGTCGACATCGATGATGACTCTCCAGAGAGTTTAATTAGCGATTCGCGCGATTGTGGGAGAGAGACGGGCCCATCCACGACGTCCAGCGTTGTGCGAAGTATAAACGAGAACGCCGCTTCTTCTTCTCTCTTCAAGGATCGATCGGGGTTGCTCCCGCTACGATATGCGCGAACTAGAACCTAGTTAGTTGAAATTAATCGCTTCATCGCTGCGCCGGACTCGTCGTCGAGTACATGGACGTGATGCTGTAACTTGAACATGAAACACAGACCTGTACATATATGTGTGAGTAGAACGAACACGAGGAAGGAGGAGGAGGGTCAATAAGGCCTGTTCTCGGGCCCCTCCAAAATTGGATCAAAATGAGTGGAATCTCTTTCTTAGACCCTTGGAAGTAATATCTAGTCGATTCCAGCCTAAACGGAGATATTTGGAGCTCTACCGGCATATACAGTACTGGCAAAAAGTTCCGCAACGGTTGAAGATCTTGGAAAATATTGATTTCTTGGAAAAATGTTTCAAACAAAAGGAATAAGGCATAAAAGAGTCTACTAGATGGTGACATCTATCTGATCTTGGTATGACCTTGAAAAGCTCTCTCATAAAAATCTTAAAGGGAAATACCTATTTTTTATTACACCGTCTTTTTCTACCAATTAATTTGAACAACTTTTGTCTGACATTTTTTTCATTTGCCTAATATTTTTTTAAATATTTAAGAAAAACTTGATAACGTTTTCAATATTTAACTTACGATATCTCGCTAACTATTTGTCGGGAAAAAAAGTAGTACTAGACTTTTTTGCTTTATTTAGTCTCAAGAATATACTGTTACAATAGTGCCCTGACTTTTGTTAACTTACTGACTTTTGGAGAGTTCAAAATCATCAAATTAACAAAAATTAGGGTGTGATTGTAACGATATACAAGGTGAGGAAAAAAGATGGAAACCCTTAAAAATCTCGAAAGATATAAGTTCTACAGAAAAGTATTTCAGACGAAAGAATTAAGGCTCAAAACGATGTACGATCTTATTAATTTGACCTTGAGTGATATTGCCAAGGTCAGATCAAGGTCAACTTATTTTTTTTTTTTAATAGAAACCCCCATTTTTTATTATATCGTCTTTTTCTACCAATTAATTTTAATAACTTTTGTTTGAAACATTTTTTTATTTACCTAATATTTTTTTTAATATTTAAGGAAAACTCGGAAACTTTCAATATTTAACTTATGATAACTTGCTAACTATTTGTCGGAAGAAAACATGCTATTAGACTTTTTTATTCTATTTGGTCTCAAGAATATATTGTTACAATAGCACCCTGACTTTTGTTAATTTGATGATTTTGAAATTTCCAAGTCAGTAAGTTAACAAAAGTTAGGGAACTATTGTAACAATATGTTCTTGAGACCAAATAGAAGTCTAGTACCATTTTTTCTCCTGACATATAGTTAACGAGATATCGTAAATTAAGTATTGAAAAAGTCATCAAGTTTTCCTTAAATATCTCAAAACATATTAGGTAAACAAAAAGATGTTTCAGACAAAAGTTGTTCAAATTAATTGGTAGAAAAAGATACAATAAAAAATGGGATTTCTGTTTAAAAAAAAATAAGTTAACCTTGACCTGACCTTGGCAACGTCATTCAAAGTCAAATTGATAAGATCAGTAAATACATCGTTTTGAACCTTATAACTTTTATCTGAAACACTTTTCTGTAAGATTTATATCTTTCGAGATTTTTAAGGTCATATCGTAACTATTAAGTATTGAAAAAGTCATCGTTTTCCTTAAATATCTCAAAAAATATTAGGCAAATGAAAAAATGTTCTAGACAAAAGTTGTTCAAACTAATTGGTAGAAAAAGACGGTGTAAAAAAATAGGGGTTTCCGTTTAAGATTTTTATGTTGACCATGAGAGAGCTTTTCAAGGTCATACCAAGATTAGATAGATGTCACCATCTAATAGACTTTTTTATGCCTTATTCCTTTTGTTTAAAACATTTTTCTAAGAAATCAATATTTTCTAAGATTTTAGATCGTTGCGGAACTTTTTTCCAACTCTGTATATGCCGGTAGAGCTCTAAATACCCCCGTTTAGGCTGGAATCGACTAAATATTACTTCCAAGAGCCTAAGAAAGTGATTCCACTCATTTTGGTCCAATTTTAAAGGGGGTCAAAAACAGGCCTTATTGACCCAACTTCTTTGCGACCGCGAGATGACAGTCTTTCCTGCGAACAACTTACGGCAATCGCTGCGGTTTCGAAATTCTATCTCCCCTTTCTTCTCTATCTTCTCTTCTTCTTTTTCTTCTTCTGCATCGTCCTCCGAGTAATTGCCTTGAATCGCCGTAATTCGACAGCAGATGGTCATGGTGGAAACTTATTCCGTAACGCCGTGCGAATTGAACGTAGTGATGTGATGAAAAATGTATAGACACGCTTTCCTCGTTTTTTCTTTTTTTTTTTTCTTTTCTTTTCATCCTGATTGTGTTGTTTGGTATGGTTGTGTGTACTGTACGGTGGCGGAAGGATTAAGTTTCCATTCGACGCGTGTAACAGGTATATCTCGGCGGTAAATTAACGTAAATTAACAATGATGCATGCACACAGTCGCAGTAGAGTCGGAGACACACACACGCTCGTTGAAGCAGACTAATTTCTCTCTCTCTCTCTTCTTCTATTCTCAACGAAGCGATATCTATTGCGAAATACGCGGAAGCTGATCTCCTTGAGTTGCATGTATATTGGCTTCACTTAAATTGTTATCTTGCTTATTGTCAGATACGACTAAACGGTAAAATCCGGTAGTGTGTTTATCTTCCCCGATTATACACTCGATTGTAAAACTTAAACGCGTGCGGCGTATTTCGGCTGTAAATATGTCGTACTTATAGTTCAATACAAGTTATCTTCGTGTAGCACGCGTAAACGTATGTTTATACGTACGAAGGTACATATCACGCACTTTGGTCGAGGGCCGTCGTCTGGTTTTACGTGTAAACTGCACTCGTTTCCGTGAAAAACAGTTAAATATGTTTCAAATGTGGTTCACATTCGTCCTTTATATGGACCACCTTGGTTAAACTCAAATAAAAATCGAATATTAAATTAGAAAACAATTTAATTCAAATGTGTTCTCAGTATGCATCTAAATTAAATTTAAATGTGATCCCGCTGTTATTAGCTTAACTTTGCCCAGGCTCATATATAGGGTGTCCGGGATATTTTAGAAATGAAAAATTGTGCAGATTAAAGTGAGAAGATCAAGAATCAGATCAAACTGAGAAGAAAAATCGTGTACTATTTTGCAAAAATCGCAGTAGTTATTGAGTTGTTAATGATCGAAAATGACCACATCTCGAGAATTTTTTAATTGATAACTTGAAAATTTGCGTACTTATTTGAAAAGATGATAAAGGGCTTTTTGTTCGGAATGATAATCTACAATTATATAACGGCTATTGCATTAACAATAGATATGAGTGAGATATGAGAAATATTGAACTTGAACCTGTCGTTAAGCACAATAGCTATTAAACAGGATGCCCGGGATCTTTTGGAAAGGAAAAATTGTGAAGATTGATCAGATTAAATTGAGAAGAGAAGTCAAGTACTATTTGGCAAAAATCACAATGGTTATAGCAACTATATAGTTATTATTATATTAAGTTATTAAGCGACAGGTTCAAGATTCAGAGTTCAAAGTTCAATATACTCATATCTATAGCTAGACACAATAGCCGTCATATGATTGTAGATTAAGTCATTCTGAACAAAAAAGTAGATTAAATTATTCCGAACAAAAAAGTCCTTTACCATTTTGCAAATAAATACGTAAATTTTCAAATTATCAATTAAGACAGTTTCTCGATGTGGTCATTTTCAATCATTAATAACTTAATAACCGTTGCAATTTTTGCAAAATAGTACATGACTTTTCTTCTCAGTTTGATCTGATTAATCTTCACAATTTTTCGTTTCCAGAAGATCCCGGACACCTTGTGATTATAGATCATATTAATATTTAATATATATCTAACTAAAACTGAATCCAAATTTGATTTTATATTTGGAATAAATAAGATTTTAATTAACGCTTAATTTGGTTTTTACAGTTTGAGTTTAACTTGGTCTGTATAAAAGACAAATGATGATGCTACATTTAAAAGATATTTAACCCGTCACTGCGTGAAGCCATTTTAAGTACGCGCACACTGTTCACCGATCAAATTGACCGGTAGGAAACGGAATTGATGAATATCTTGACAAATAACACGACCATACAACTGCGCGTATATCAGTCGACTGACATTCAGAATGTAAGAAAATACACTGACGGATGAATACGCAGCTAGAAAATTAACCGCGTAATTTAAATTTCAAATAGTGCAATGGTCAAATTGACCGGAGAACAGCAGTTACGGGTTAACTGTTTTTCATGGGTTCTTACATTAATTGTCAGACGTCAAAGTTCTTTTTCTTTTTTATAGCCAAACGACACCGGAAGCTCGATTAAATGTGTGGTGATGCTACTCGTTGGCAATGTATAACTTCCGTTTGCATTGCCCAACTTGAAATTACGCATTAGTCATCATCACTATTACTATCTTATTTTCAGGTGAACTTCCGAAAACCACGCACACCCTATTGTCATGAGCTTTCGTGAAAATACTTCGTCATCTTAAATGAATGTTCTTGCTCGTGAATTCTCACTGACAAGAGTTTAATGCCAAGAGAGTTTTAGTAACGTTGTATATCGCTGATAAGATTACATTCCCAGATAAAAGTTCACGTACTATGATTTCTTTTTACCTAGTCACTCGATTCTTTTAGTATAAATGTTAAAAAAAAACAACTCCCTCCCCCCCCCCTCTCTCTCTCTCTCTCTCTCTCTCTCTCTCTCTCTCTCTTTCTCTCTCTCTCTACACGTAGTTAAATTAGATGAGAACAAATATTCATTTGTTATCGTATAAATATATAATCACAGCGCATAGATAAATCCGAGAAAGTAACAAAAATAATATAATAATATTATTAATAATAATAATTAATAACATTATTATTCATAATATTATTAACATGTAATTTGTTATTTATTATGAAATTTATATTATTTAAATATTATTATAAACTCATATATTATCTCTTTTCCTCTCACATGCATAGATGAATCTGGAAAAGTAACAAATATTGTTATTATTAATATTAATAATATACAACTTAGTCAATATATATTATTACATATTATAATATATATATATATTAATGATTATTATTAATATTAATAATATAATATTACTTGAGTACTTTTTGGTGTCAAATACGCAGCAATTGAGCGCGACTGGTTTTCGGAAGTTTCAGCCTGTTTTCTTTTTTTTTACCCCACACAAGAATTCGATGACTTCGAGGTAAATGTTATTATTCATTCGAACTTGTCATTTATCCTACCCAGCCTACCTGGGGGTCCCTATTACACCACCCCACCAGCCTCCACCAATGCATTAGCAGAGAACGATCAGGACCGAGCGAGAGTGTTATGCAATTACGACGCGAGAGATCCTAGCGAATTAAGCGTCGTGCAGGACGAGGTAACGAAATTTGTAATTTAGGTGCGAAACGTGCGACAGAGCATGTTTGTGATGCGATGCGAAACTAAAGGCATGAAAATCGTATGAGCGAAAGTCGTATGAGTATAAGTCGCAAGACTCCCGTTGGAGCGTTTAGTTTGTAGATCTCCTTTCTTCTCTCTTTTTTCTTTTTCCTTTTTTTTTTTTCGAATTTCATATGCACGCTGAGCCTCAAAACGGTTGGAACGTTCTTTCAGCGCAATTCGGAACGCACCTACGTAGCCGATGAGGAAACGGAGTTCCCGGGAATCATCGGGGCTGCGTTCCGAATTGCACCCGGGGAAAGTGTTCGAGCCGTTTTGGCAGCCAGCGTATGCTCGAAAAAAATTTTTCATTCCTCTTGTATTCGTCAGCTCGCTGCCTAAGGCCCGTTTGAAGCTTAAATCACCGTTCGGGACTGCGTTCTCGTCGCTTTCTCCATAAAGACGCAGGGACCGAATTTCTCTCGTCCACCTATCGAAAGAGAAACACAATACACTATCGTTTGTTGAAGTTCTCGATATACATTAGACGTATCGTTTAAAAACTTACCTTGAACCGTTCTCGTATCTGTAAGTCTTCGAGGATACCTCCCACCCTTTCTAATCTCACCTTTTTGCTCTCTTGATACTAACGATATTGTACTGGTGCATTTACCCACAAGCAGCTAATACATTGTTAACTCTCGAGATACTACACGTATTCTAGACGAAAATATATATTTATTTCGAGGAAGAAATTGCATTCGCCTTGTTACACTCCTCCCCCCGCGAGTCATAGATCGTGAGGGGGCGGAACACACACCGAGAGAAATATTGTGCAGATTGTGATAGTCGTGCAATGCAGTTAGTTATATGAAGAGATAAAACGGACTAATCGCTTTCAATCAGGAGAGAAGAAATATTTTCTAAAGAGACACGCTGTAACAGAGAGAGAGACAGTAATAACGATAACAGCAATATTAGTAAGGTTCACGAATATTACATGCGATCTTTCGAAGGAACGCATTCCTTCGTCATGAGAAAAAATGTGTCCGATGAAATTTGCTCGGGAAATAAGATTAATCCCACTGAGGAGAGATCGATTGATTTCCGTGAAATTAGCGATTATATTCGTCCCGTTTACCTACACCGTGTACTATTGTGCATGATAGAGATAGTGTCGATTATCAAGTTGTACATCGAAGGAATTTATTTGCATCAGCCTTCTTTCGACGTCATAGTCGTTGATACGTCATATTTTAGTATTGCGTACACTTTTAGATTTACTGATTTGTAAAGTGACACGAAAAAAGAAAAGGCGATGTCTCTCCCTTTAGATTTTATGCGAAACATGTACACACTCGCGAAGGGCCGAGTCACAAGCGTACTTGTACGCGAGACGAATTACTGTATGTGTATATTTATTCGAGTTGTGCATGTATTATCAATAAACATCTGCCGTTTTACTTTGTTAAATTGCATTCTTATTTATTCACACCGTTTCGTTGCGCAGCCACTGTGTGTACTATGCCGTTTCTTTTTTTCTATCTGTACGTTTGACTCCATATGTGTATCTTGATCGGTATCGAGTGTATTGTTATATGTGCCTTGGATGTATGTGTTACATTAATACAAAGTATATTATGATTAGAACGTGCAACGTGCTGCGAACGTAAGCTGAACATATCTCACGCGCGATGTCTTTTTTTTAGGTAATCGGTATTTACGAAATTCCCGATGACGAAGATTACTTCATGGGCGTTAGAGGCAACCAACGAGGAAAGGTGCCCAAGGCGTATTTGGAGACGCTTATTATACGTCGTTGAAACGTTTAGAAGAAGAATTGTTGTTATCTACTGTCAATTGCATTTTTAGAGCGAACTTAGCGCTACTTCTGCTCTTTCTCTCTCCTCGATCAGTCGAAGCAACGGCGATCTTGCACTTAGGCTTGAGAAATGCTTACTTCAGCTCACTTCAGGACCAAAAGAAGAGCCACTCTCTACTTCCACTTCAATAAATTACTCTCCTATATATACTCACAATGATATCACTCGCAATGAACGTTCTCGATTTTCTTCTATTTCAATGTCGTCGTAATGTATATACATGCGTATAAAGTTATTTCGCGATCACGATAATTTTCCCCTTTGATATAATCGAGAAAACACAACGGAGCTTGAAGTTTTTGAAATTTTATTGTTTAATCAGTATAATACAGCTGAAGGTAATATTATACTGATGTTTATAATATATAAATTAATGTATAATGTTACTTATACAATATACAAAATTATTTTTTCTTCGACACACCGACCGTGCGTCCGCGACGACCAGTGGTCTTTGTATGTTGCCCACGTACGCGGAGACCCCAGTAGTGACGCAAGCCTCTGTGAGCACGGATCTTCTTCATCCTCTCCAGATCTTCACGCAGTTTGGAGTCCAGATTGGCACTCGTGAGCTGCAAACAAATCACACAAGTCAAAGAGTTATCTTGTGATGTCTCGCGAACTATATTATTTGTATAATACGGTTGCACCCTTGTTGCACGCGTACCTGCCACTTAGCGTAATAAGAACGTTACACAAAGCAATTCTAACGTACAGCGATGCTGTTGCTATTGCACAAGCTACCAACTGAGCATACAATGGGTATTTGCACGATCAGTCGTGAAATGTGCGATACGACTTGCAAGGCACGGTGGAACGAGGTTTATCATTTAAGAGATATGTATAGCATAAATACTACAGAGTACTTTCATGCCAGTCTGAATTCCAATATACAAGTAATGAATATTGTCATATAACTCTTATCACAAGTGTTGAAAACATTTCACTAGATGTATACGTTATATTTTTCAATGATAAAGTATATACGATTCTTAAGAGTTGATTCTTCTTGTTCACAAAATAAATAGCTTATGCTCATACCTGCGAATATTTCCCATCGACAATGTCCTTCTGTCTGTTCAAGAACCAGTCGGGAATTTTATACTGCCTGGGATTAGCCATTATTGTCACAATCTTCTCAACCTGAAATATTTCCAATATGTTAAACATGATTCACACGATGCAAACATACGAGTTATAAATAAAGTATGCTAAATTAAAATTACCTCTTCTTCCGAGCATTCTCCAGCTCGTTTATCCAGATCAATATCTGCTTTCTTCAAGACAATGTTGGCGTAACGTCGACCAACACCCTTAATTGCAGTCATAGCAAACATAACTTTTCTATTACCATCAATATTCGTGCCCATGACACGAAGAATGTGCTGGAACTTCTCAGGAATGACGAGAGACTGAAAAATCCAAGTATATTATTAATCGTTTATACAGTACATATTTTAAGTAGACTTAATCCTGATGCAATTCAGGTCGTTCTGTTATACCATAAATTCTTTAATTTAATGCAAATATTGCCTGCTCCTAGCAACATGACTTGAATCTTAATTTGTGTTTATCTATTTGAATAGTTAAACACAGATTAAGGTTTAACTGATGGAGTATTTATATAATTTAGGGTCTTCATCTCCAATATTATTAAATTTATACTCAATCGATGTGTTTTTGCATGAGATGAAAGAATATGGCAGGAAAAAAGTCGCTCTGCCCCACGAGGCGAGATATTAATTATTAAAGTTGACAGTTATTTAAGTTAGGACAGAACCCTTCCGCTTATATGTATACTGTTTAACATTCTTTCTAATGTACATTGTGTTAGAAAAATGAGGTCTATCTATAAATCTTCTTTTGTTAATCATTTTTTAATAAACAATGAGCAACGACTAAAATCTCTTGAATGTTACTCAGAAAGTATACTAAAATAACAAATCCTGAGAAGTTTGGCAAAGATTCTGTGCAATGTAAAGATTATAGATTTGGCTAGGTTTAGTTAATAAATGTATACATTACACTCAGTCGAATTCTAATAGTCTCAGGGCTCACGGTTGTTCCAACCTTTTGATAAGGTAACTGATAATTAAATTATGTCTGTTTTTGTCTAACCTGAAGAAGAAACGAAGATAAACATATGATTTAACTATCAGTTAACTTACTAAGAAGTTGGAACTACCGGCCCTCAGACTTATATAAGATGAATATTTAATAGATCTTCGCATACGTTTCAATTTCGCGCTCTTTTCGCATGCACGTGTGACCACAGAGAAAGGGCAAGAGCCACAGGCTTTTGCATAACACATAATACATAACACATAAGAGAATAAACCAATTAGTTTTCATTTCCCTCCTCATGACAGAAATGAAGAACTCTGATTGGTTGATTCTCTTATGCGTTGTGTATTATGCGTTATGCAGAAATCTGTGCTTTGGCCCAAAGGCTGCGTTCAGAAGAACAAAATGATCAGTGAGCGCTTAGTGATTCTCGCTCCTGATTGGTAAATACTTCTGGGTCTATGAAGAATCTAAGGACGGTATTCATAGTCGGGTCTTATATTTAAGATCGTCTTAAGTTTCAGATATCCCGTAGCCAATGAAGTAATTTGTACAGCATCTGAAGATAAACTTAAGACGATCTTAAATATAAGATCGCTGCTGAACGCAGCCAAAGTTCACGCCGCTGCGTACCGTTCATAATGCTTCCTAACCTAAAAATTGTCTAACCTATCTAATAAATCCTAAGGATCTAATAAATCCTAACCTAAATAATTGTCAACTTTAACAATCAATATTTCGCTTCGCAGGACAAGATGATTTTTCCTGCCAGGTTCTTTCGTTTCATGCAATAACGCGTCGACTGAATGCAAATTTACCAATATTACAAGCTCTTAAACTGTGTAATTACTGACGTTGGTATAAACAAGTATATGCCGGATAAATTCATAACGTTTGTAGCAAGAACTATAGAAAATCAACAGATACGTTCGGAATGATTAAGTGAATCGTCGTTAATGAAAAAATTCGTTGATTACAAGCATCCAAAAATGCGTGCGATTGAAAGCATAACCACAAACCATTGTTATAGTTTCCTCTAAAAGAAGCGTTAAAATACTTCTCCAATAAATGCTACACCGATAGAATTGTTACTTCACTAAAGCATGTAACATATATCGTGCACGATTGCGCTATGGAAATATTTTAATGAATTTTATATGAAACTCACCATCTTTCTACATTAACTAACGGCTACTCAGGCAAGAAGAAGAAAACACTGCCCACGTTGCAATCAGAAAATCACCGCGCCGCTGCGTTGTCGATCAAACGCTGCCGCCATCTCGCGGTCGTCGTGGCAAAACACGAGCGAGCCGCGATGTGTCACTGGCACAACTCAGCCAATCGCGAGGTTGGCGTTGATTTACGCGGGAAACGGCCTGCCGTAACGGCTGCCATATTGTTGGATATATTTTGAATCGGAACGGTCGCTTTCAAATATGGATCGTGAAGAATTCAATGAGTCAAACTCTTGGCGAGTTTGTTGAACGACGAAAGTAATCGGAAAGTAATCGATTTCTTTAGTAATGATTCTTTATGGCTGCTCTTTCAAATTTCCTTGTGGAATAAAATAATCGAATGAAATGATGATTCATACAGTAGCAACATCTATCAAGAGCGGTACGATGGACTCTGAGAGCATCGATCTTGCCAGCGAACTTAATCAGATGGAGCGAAGCATTAATTGTTACAAATCAAAATTGAAAAGCCGTCGCTACAAGTACGAAAACGTGAAGATGGAGATTTGCGACGTGCAGCAGTATTGGTACAAAGCGCTGTTCGAGTTGAACAATACGCGAATGAAAGACCAGATTCTGCAAGAGTGTTTGGAAAAAACATATCTGAGTCATGAGACGTGCGTGGAGAAGACAGGCGGTTACGAAAATCTCGACGAGAGGATTCACGCGATAATCAACAATGTTGCGACGACGCAGAGGAACATGTTGATGCAGGAACTGATAGAATTGAGAAAAAATCACGACGATAACGACAGAAGACTCGCCCAGATGAAAGCCATGATCATGGAATTAGAAGTAATCCCAACGTTTACATCACTGTATTCGTAACGAGTCAATGACGAGACACCATTTGCGAAAAAGTGTGAGTACGCCGCTTCCATCCCGGAAGATACACGAAAACGAATAAATGCTCTTCTGGAACACTCGAAGACAGACGAAAGGAGCAACACCACGAATGATACAACATAGTAAGAATTTGTATTTAATTTGTACTTAAAAAAAGAATTTATATTTTAATTTGTATTTGTAATTAAACTTTTTATTTAGAACCCAACGTAACTTAACTTCATGTAATTTTACCTAGCGATACACAACGGAATGTACAAATAAGCAGACATTTTTTCCGTGTAATTCTACTCGACAAAAATGTTTGATTTCAATAAAAATATGCGTTTTACCACATCTATACATTATGTCGTCGAACCTGTGTCCAAAGTCATTCACTATCAATTGCTATCAAGCAAGTCGCCAATTGCTCATTCGTTTTCTCCAACCGTTGTCAAGCAACGGGCACATGATCCAAAATTTTCGCCACATTGTTGTTCGCCGCGCGTATCCTCGATCTACTTTCCGCGATGGTCTTCATCAGGATTTCATTTTTCCTCTCTATCTCGTTCATCCTCTTCTTCAGTTCTTCAGTCGCTTTCTTGATTATGTGTACGTCCAACGATCTCAAATGCAAGGCCACGTCTCCTGGTGAACGCTTGCAACGAAATGTTGACTTGAATCAAGGAGACCAAGAAGGCTCGCCCAGCGAATGACGATTCTCCGTTAATGAGTTAATGAACTAACCACGCGTCCTCGTCAGCAGCCATCGTGCTATCCTCTGACAGTTTAGCGATTTTGGCCAAAACGTCTTGCAAATTCCTTTACAGAGGTTTATATTTTAAAGTTTAAACTATCATTTCCTCTACCTCGTCAGATTTAACCTTGAGAAGTATGTTTTTTGGAACTGGGATTAATTTCTATATTAATGTCATCCAGCTTCCATTCATTAGATGTTAAGAAACCATATCAAATATGGCGACCTTTTGACCAAATTTGTACAAAGAATGAACAAATTCGCTTTTATTCCTATGAAAGTTCTTGAGCAGTGATTGCTATTTCTTTTTTATCACAGAAATCTTCAAGAAGCTTGGCTTTCACTCCTGGTTGCCTTAGACGTCGTATAAAACGGCCAGAAGTAAAAGCCATGCTTCCTGATGATTTCTGCGATAAAGAACAGATAGCAGCAATCGCTAATCAAGAACTTTATAGGAATAAAAGCAATATTGTTCATTCTTTGTGCAAATATGGTCAAAAAGTCGCCATGTTTGATAGTTCCTTAATACCATATTTATACAGAGAGTGAACAAATTGGCTTTTGTTCCTATAAAGTTCCTTAGCAGTGATCGCTATCTCTTTTTCATTACAGAAATCTCAGCTGTTACTTTTAGCCACTCTAGATACATCATCCACTTTTTATTCCTTTCCGAAGAACAGTCACCAATGTTCCGATTTTCCATATAACCCATAATGTTCTTAGGGACCATTGATTCCTTTTCCATGATATAACTCAGATTTACATTTGCCTGAAAAACAGTGATATAAAATATAAAAAATACATCAAAGTGGAACGAATCGTAGAATGCATCTCTCGTCGGTTCTATTTCTTTTCCTCCCTGAGTCCGAGGCGATTTCGTCACATTTCGAAAACTAAATAATCTCAAATTGCGCATTGATTGCGCGCGGCGCAGCGCGACGCGACGGTAGCGGATATACCACGTTCATAAAAATGTATTCAATATAAAAAAAGCCAAACAGAAAAGAAAAAGAAAAAAAGCCGCATATTATTTCTTCACTTGGCCGAAGGTATTGCTCTGGGGAATGGAAAGTCGGTATTGAGTCGACGCGCCGGACGATTCGTTATACGCTTGCTCTCATCGACGAGAATGTAAACTCATTCTCGTTAGGAAAAACGTTAATCCGCGGCGCGGTTAACAACGCACGGCGCGATAATTCTGAGATATCCTGCATAATTTTACCGAACGAAAGTCGCGTAGCGATAGCGCCGCCAAAGCAGGCTTTCAGAGGTTTGTTTGTCTTACACGTGGTACTTCTAAATCAGTTATTTCTATTTTTTAACTGTAATATCATTGCAGTTTTAATAAAATCTAAAGAAAAAACCTATTTTCTATAAAAATCATTTCGCAATTTCGTTTCTCTCGTGTTAGATATATAAATAAAACTCACAAGCAACATATTCCTGAGAGCGTTTAGCTTAATGTGTCTGTCAGTATCTTCAACTAATGAAAAAAAGAAAAAAAAAACGAGGAAAAGAAGAAAGAACCACACGCCATTTAGGAGAAATACATTGACTGTGTTATTTTCATGTTATTTTCATCAAACACGTAAGTGCGTAAATAATTTGACAAAGAAACAAATAATATTGCCGAAAGTGCTCTGGATTATGTGATGTACGAGTCTCGTAAGTGTCTAGACTTCCAGGCGCACATATTCCCAGCAAACACAATATTACATGTAACGTGCATGTTAGTTGTAATTGTGTTATATAACAGTTATATTGTTGAGTAGGAAATTACAACTAACATGCACGTTACATATAACATTGTGTTTGCCGGGTTGTGTTAATGATACAATTGAGTTATCTCGTCGTTTCGTAAATGCACATGTACAGCTGGGACGTAATTGTATATTTCTACATGTAACACAAAACTAGACGCATCAATATCGTCAATCATCTGTCCCGGCTCGGCAAATATTCCTTCTGCAGACTACATCTTAAAGTAACGTTATAATGCAGAGAGCACACATTGCGATACATAGAGGCATCGTGCAAAAAATCCACGCGGGAATCTAATATTTACACCCCGCACCGACTGATACGGTTCGATCTCACGAATACGCTTGCTATCGCGCCAACGAGGTTGCCGGCGCGGAATGAAATTTGTTTCGGTGTCGATGGAGTTTCGATAACTCGATAAAAATCTGACGAACGGAAAAGCAATCGTTTCACCGCATGGAACTCCTCCACCCCTCTCTTTCCCCCTTTCGCCATTTCTTGTCTGCCATCCCCCTCCCTCTCTTCTTTTTTCCACCTCCCTCATCCCTTTCTCTTTCTCTCACGTTCCTCGCGTCTCTTTTCCATCCCCGATTGAAATTTCCCCTTCTAATCTTGACTGCGAAGATCACAGGGGTTGGTCTGTCGACTACAACGGAACTACGGCCGTGCGAAGTTGGTGGCGAAAGTAGCGAATCGAGGTGGAGAAACGAGCCGAAACGAGCGTTCGCAGAGCGAGTCGTGGAATGGAGTGGGGGATATCGCCGTGTTCCGAGGCATAATCCCCCTTTGATCCGTTTTATTACGGTCGTTCCTTCGGATTAGGCCGGAATAAGAAAGAATTTGCGAGTTTCCGCGTGTTAACCTAACCTAACCTAACTCCACATCTAGTCCTGCCCGACCTCCATCCTGCGACTCCTACCACATGGCAACCATACAACCACGTACGCTGCGCCTTTCCATTCGCCTATGACAATAATAATGCAGCAATATCGCGCAGCGAATTTACAATATTGCAACCTTTGTAGAATTTTCATGAGTTGCATATATATACCGCGCGAAACAATAATTTAGTGTTGTCAGCTGAACTTCTGTGGCTAAATTCGATCTTGTCTAATAAATGCTAACTCGCCCTTTCGGATTCTATATTTGTTAATTGTGCTGTATTATGCGTATTGTCCGGCAAGTCGCAAGTTTTATATAACTCAAAGTATAATTCGAACAAATACAAAAATACGAAATTTTGCCTAACTCTTCTAGAATTTTACAAATTAGAAATTGTACGTTTAATGTTTCTATCATTTTTGCAAACCGTTACAAATTATAACGTTATAGAATGTACGTTACAGATCGCAAATGGTTCGCCTAAGTGTTACTAATTTTCTAGTTCTGGATTGGAAAATTCTTCCTCTTATATGGCTTATTTATCAGTCTTAATCCCGTCGCGAATTACCACCTGTTCCAATCATTTCAACATTACCTGGCTGATACATTACGAGGCAGAGAAAGAGACCCGAAAAAATCTTGAAGACTTTATCGACTCAAAACTGTCGAACTTCCTTCCGCGAGAATATTCAGACAGCTGTCCGATAGATGGAGCAAAGTTACAGAAAATAATGGGGACTATTTCGAACATTGAACTTGTGTATTTGATTTTTTATTAATAATAAATATCGGATTTTGTGGGAAAAACATCGAATTTTTCAACACTGCGCAGGAAACATTGCGCTGAAAAAAAGAGAAAAAGTGATCGAAAAGTATGGTTAAGTATAACCAAATTTTTTTTCTATTCTTTTTTAACAGAGTTTTTTCTACTTTAAAAATGCCACTGCGTATCAAAAGAAAGTCGTGCTTTCGGTTCGTGGATTCAGTCGTGATTACTCGAAAGCAGTACGCATCGCTCTGCGCTCTGCCTACGTTAAAAAATACTCGAAACAAAAAGCAAAAATCTGTCAGCGACGATGCATCAGCCCCGTCTCTATTCCAAATAAAATAAAACGTAAACTGTATTTCAGCCTCTTCCGCTGATCCTCCTTCAAAGAATTGAAATTTCGTCCGCTCGAGCATGCTACTACCGCGGAGGAGACGGAAATGAAGACAAACGCGTTCTCATTAAAACGGAACAGATACGAACGTGTGCGGGGCTCGCGCGTTTCTTTCGCGATAAATCTGCCGCGGAATTCATAAAGTATCGTTACGTCACCCTCGCCGGATGAGCGACGCGAATTGTGCCTCCGCGTGGTCAGGACATTTTTTCTCTTCACTTTTTTTCTATTTGTTTTACGAAAGGTGCATCCTTTTGGGAATGCGGAAAAAAGCAAAGTCGTAGGTCGCTCGTCGATCCGAGTGAGATTACAAGGCTCACGCGGCACGAGCGGAGGCGATTAATCATCCAGGATGGACTCCGTATTACGTCGTCTCATCGACGCTCCCCGACGACCGCTTACATCAGGATTATGATGGGATTTACAGTCTTGACTGACATATGTTCTGGATATTTTGCGCGCGATTGAAGAGCCAGGCATTCTGTGAGCGATGTGAGTGTTTAACGAAATCTAACGATTTAATGATATTTGTGACTTATTTAAGTGCGATGTGCGCAAAACACTCGGATTTTAACGATCAGCACAAATTTGTAGCTTGTTTTTAAAGCGATAGCGAATATACAGTCCGGGAAACAAAAAATTGTGAAGATTAATCAAATCAAACTGAGAGTCACGTATTATTTTGCAAAAGAGTCAAGTATTATTTTGAAAAAATCTCAATGGTTATTAATAGTTATTAATGATTGAAAATGACCTTGTTTAGAGACTCTTTTAATTGATAACTTGAAAATTTGCGTACTTATTTGCAAAATGGTAAAGGACATTTTTCTTCAGGATGACCTAACCTACAATTATATGACGGCTGTGATATCTAGCGATAGATATGAATGTATTGAACTTTGAACCCTGAATCTTGAACCTGTGCTAGAATGTGCTGGAAATGTGCTTAATAAGAAACGTTTATAACTCGAAAAAGAAGTGATTATGGACTCATGTTTATGTGTCCTTTCTTCATCTTTACATCGAGAAGAATATGCCCTTAAAATTTGGCCACCTATTTCTGAAAGACCCTGTATAAAGATCTTGCCTTAAGTCGCCCATTTTTCCGTTTTATAGTTGTTCACATTTGAGGGGCTGAAATGTTGGGTCTACCGTTGAGGTCCATTGTCAGTAACGATATTAGTTACTTTTACTCCAAAAAGTATTTAAGCCATATTAGCCTACATCTCAAACCTTTCCACTCTTAACCTTCCTGCTAATCCTCGCCCCACATGTGGACACGGGCTCTTAATTTTGCTTACGGAAAATTCGTGACTCCGATTCTATGATTGAAATTAAGACCTGGGGTGCTGAAACATATCCCGCGCGCAGCTAAACTGACTATCATACCGCTTTATTGACGTGTGCGGGGACCCTCAGCCCCTCGTCGAGATTCGTACTGTTATTTGCCGGATGACAGCAGGTAGGGATTACCCTTTCTGTCTAACGACGAGTCCCCTCGTGCGGGGGATATCGCCTCGAAAAATAATGAACATCGTCGCGACGCATCAGTCGTAGATACACGAAACATACGCAGTGTCACGGTGACGTGATCCCTGGGAGAAGCCAGCAAGTGCCCGATTTATCGCTCCAGCCAGGCGAATTCGTCACTTTCGAAAGTGCGACTTACAGACGCCCCTCCCGTGCAGACCAACATGTGTGCGTCTACACTGCCGCAAAAATTATATCGCTGTCAAGATCAACTGCAACATATTGGGCTATTCGGAAAGTAATTTCGGCCTTTTCAATAGATGGTGTTAATTGCCGTTTTGAGCAGTTAACCTCATAATCTAAATCGGAAGATCATTTTACATTTTCACAATGCACATTTCAAGCTTCATTTCGACCTCAAAGACGCATCACGTTCTGAAAGGCCAGTTAAGGCTGATGAAGACCAAACAAAGGCATTGGTGGACGCAAATCGTCATTTAACAACATGAGAAATTGCTGAGAGATTGAATTTATCGGATTCGACCGTGCATGAGCATTTGAAACAACTTGGTTTCGTGTCATAGCTCGATATTTGGGTTTCACGCGTTCTCAAAGAAAGAGATTCGATTCGTCGCATTACCATCTGCGATTTGCTGTTGAAACGTGAAGAAAACGATCCATTTCTGAAGCGATTCATAACTGGAGATGAAAAATGGTGTACAACAATATTAAACGCAAAAGATCACGAAGCAGACGTGATGAACTAACTCAAAGCACATCGAAAGCCGATACTCATCAAAAGAAGAAAAATTCTTCGTTTGGTGGAATTAGAAAGGAATGATTTTTTTTTAACTGCTATCAAACAACCAAACGATTGATTCGAATGTGTATTGTCATCAATTGGACAAATTGAATGATCCTATCAAGCGGAAGAGACCAGAATTGGCGAATAGAAAAGGTGTTGTGTCTCATCATGACAACGCCAGATCTTACACAAGTTTAATGACTCGTCAGAAGCTGCTAGCGCTTGAATGGGATTTGCTACCACATCCACCATATTCACCTGATCTGGCGTCATTCGATTATCACTTGTTTCGGTCACTGCAAAATTCTTTGGATGGTAAAAATTTCAATTCAAATGAAGGTGTCATGAAAAACCACTTAAT